GGCTTGTGGTAAGTATTCTTCCAGTAAGTTCTAGAGGAAGAGTTACTTTCTTTTGTAATTTCTGGTGTTTTTAAGATATGGATAGTTTCCCCTAGTGGTATGGTAGATACCATATGATTCGGTTTATATTGATCCAATGGTTCTTTCCAAGGCACACCTCACAATTAAACTTTTAATTGGAAGTGGACTTGTACAGGAGCTTCAGGATGTAGGGCAGAGTTTATAAAAATGCTTGAATGTCTTACTTGGGAGAGAAGAGCTGCTGTGAAGGTAATGCAGTAATTCCTTAGCAATATTGAGCTTGGCTGTTGTTGCTTTCGGTTTTCATTTAGTGCTTAATACTTTACCATGGAGAAGAGATACTTTCCAAACCATCAGCCTCAGCCACTTGAGCTGACAGAGGTTAGTTAGCATGGTATTGGGAGTGCCCTGGGCAGCTAAGCCATTTCCTGTGCAGTGGAATACTAAGGTGCATATAGAAAGAAGGCAATTCATTATGTTATATTATGTTGCCCTTTAATTGTTGATGTACAAGAGGTCAACTTCTAGAATCCAGGTCCTTCTCTTAGTTACTCCAAGTTGGGGTGTGCTGCCTTGTGTGTGAGGCAGTGGGAGTAGGTTTTTTGTTTTATTTTTTTTCCCCAGCTACATATCAGACAGAGAAAGTGGGAAAGTGTCCCATTCTGATGCGAGAAATGTACTTTCCTTGGTTTGAGAAACAAGGACTGGACAATGTCATGACAATGATGAACATTTGCTATGCTTAAGGACCACGGCTTAGCAATGTTTGGAGTACTAAAAGGCTGTAAGTGCTAACACCAGCATTTCCACTGCATCTTTCATTTGAGAATCTTTCTGTTCTTAATGAATTTTCACTGTGTCTATGTGAGGCTGGTATTATTAGTGTCATTTTGCAGACAAGTAGATAAAGAAAAATGCTTGTATAAGCACATTCAGCAAGCCAGGAAAGGCAGGAATAAAATTCAGGAATACTAATGTTTCAACCTGGTTTTGAGCTACTATCTTGGCCTTTTTTTTCCAGAAAAGAAAAACAAGAATAACGGTGTCTTTCCTGCCCCCATCCCCCTCTTTTTTTTCCCCCATTGGGTTAGGCTGCATAAAAGCAAGATATTATTATGCAACATATCTAAGTGTGCATGTGATACTTGAAAAAATGGTAATCAGATAAGTTGCCAGGCAACAGTACCCTGCCTTCAATTACCAAAAAGCCAGTGAGTGTGCTTTCATGATATAACATGGGTTCTGTACTTCTTCATAAAGAAAGTGTAGGTGGAGTTTTGTAAGAGTCGCTCCTTTTAAACTCATCTCCTGCTTAATCTGCTATATCGTGAGGTCAGATTTGACCCCAGTTTTACCAAACCTGAAATCAGCAACGAAGTTAGATGAGCTCTCAAAGATAATGAATGGTATGTGAGCATATATGAGTAAATAACCATTTCCTCTGATGGTCTGTGAGTGTTTGATGGTTCAACAGCTTACAACAGGTAGGTCGGAGCTCATCCTTGGGACCGTGAAAATTAAGAAAATGAGTGAGAGATTTATATTAAAAGGTAGATGACAGGAATACATGTCAAGCTGTGAGAAGTATTAAAACACAGTGACCCTTTGGCCCAAAAATATTGAGTGCTGTGGTAATTTATGAAAATATGAATGTAAATTCAGATGGTTCATTTTCATTGCCTGAGCAGAAGCAGAATGGGAGGAACATAAGCAGCGATGAGTGTACACAGAAGAAAAAGTGATAGTCTAAGAATGGAAGACAGCATGAGGGAATTCAGTTGTGTGTTTGTTCAAAACTTGAGTTTAATTTCTTTTTTAAAGATATTGCAAGATAACAACCGCAAAATACAAAGACTATTAGAAATTATCTAAATTAATTTTTGATTTTGGCAATAAATAGCCATGGAAGCATTTGCAGAGACTGTAGTTGTGTGGGGATGCAGACATCTGCCCAAGCCTCTTCAGCTGTTGTGTGGTGGCATGGCTTTTAAAAGAAATCTGAAACTCCAGAGGTCTAATGTGCTTCTCAGGGCTTTGACAGAAGTTTTCAGTAGAGATAGGGGACCCACCTAGATCTATCTGGGAAAGGATGCACATAATCTTGAAATAGCTTGTTTTCCTTAGGTAACTGCAAGTTGTTGCTTTACAGAGTTGGTTTTCCAATTTTTTTTTTTTTGTTGTTCCAGAAGGAGCAAAAGGCATTTGCATTTCAGGAGGTGTCCTACAGGTTCCTCTGCAGTATTTCAGTCCAGTGTAGGAGCAGGTTCAGAAGTCCTCATCAAGACACATGGTGATACTTAAGTTAAAAGGGAAATCTGCATTATCCTCTGTGTAAGTCCTGCCAAAACAGGGTGAGTTTCTGAGAAGACACATACTCACTTTCTGTTTCCAAATTTGGCACCTTCTTCCCAGGAGAATCCCAGATAAGTCACGGAGCAATGTTGTACCTTGATTTTTCTGTTGCACAGGTTATCGCTGGTTAGTTGCATGGGCCTGAGCTTTCTTTATAGAGAACCATAGAAATAATGAAGGGATCTAAATACTAAAATAGACAGTTGAAGGAACGCACAACTAACCACTTTCCAATTAGGAATTTGCTTTCCTTTTTGTTTGCTTTTCTTTGTATTCTCATTTGATGAGCAGTACTGCTAGATTATGCTCATGTGCAGTCCCAGCCTGCTGACATCAGGAGTGTTGGTGTCTGTGTTAAAGGAACAGTCAGAGCAGGAAGTGCTGTTTTGGGAAGTCTGCAATTTTAGTTTTTAACTACTTTTGTATATGCAAGTGGATGTTCACACTACTCTAACCATCTTTTTGTTTGATTTTCCCTTACTACAAACACTATACTTTTTTAATCATTAGTATTTTGACACAGAAAGTCCAGTTATATACAAAACAAAAAACAAACCCCCTTTTCTGAACAGCTTAAGCTTTGTATTAATCATGTGAGACTTAAGGTCGAATCTTTCTCTTCAGCTCTACTGCTCTACTCATGTGTATTATTACATAGTCTTTACTAATGAAGATTTTCTTCATTCAGTGATTTCTTTGAAGTGTAGATATATTTGTAACCAAAGGTATGCTTTCTCCAGCACTTTGAGTTCAAAGTGATGAAGTATTTTGTGAAAAGGGAACTTCTTCCTGCTGGGCTGTGTGCTGTGAGCCAAATCTGAGAGATAATGATACAGCTGAAATCTAGCAGGCTTTAGGGTAGTATGGGGTAGCATTCAGAGGGCTGATGAGTTCCTTGGTCTGGCTCCAGGTGAAGCCCCATGGGTGGCCTGAGCACTGGTGCCAGGGAAAGGGATGGACTGAGCAGGACTGTGCTGTCCTAAAGTTAGGTTTGCTTGACACCTTTTGTAATGTTCATGTTTCTGCATTAAGGAGTTGGGAATGTGTTGCCGTTGCTTGTTTTGTATGATTTTGTTCCTCACTCTTTTACATATCAAATTATAGACCAGTACATCTGACTATGTAAAAAACATTCTCAGTGTTCCTGTGATTCTAGGGAAATGCCTTTTGAAATTTTGTTTGCATATGTCTGATAAATAGTTCAGTAGAAATTTGTGGCAAATATCCAACTGTGGCAAAATGCATATAAGGAAAATGGATTATGTGCAAATAATTCATGTGACAACAATTTATACCAAAGCTAGACAACAAACAAGTTCTTTCCCAGTCTGATATACAAATATGTAGCTAGTAAAATAGCAACTGTTTCTCATGATAAGAGAGACTCCAAAGTAGATGCAAGCTTCAATGCATAGGCAGAAGGTGCTAGATGTGTCTCAATAATACCCATATTACATTGATTTAATTAGTGGGTTTATGCTATTCATTGCTCCATTAATCTCATTGGGAAGATATTTTGAGGAGAGGATTAGTTATTTAATTTGCATTTTTAATTGGAGTGGTTTTGTAGTTCAGTGTCATCTAAATAAAAACAGTGTAAGTTTGTTTTGTTTTGTTTATTAAGGAAAACATGTCCCTTGAATTCTTCTTGGATTTTGGTGCTCAAAAATGCTGAGATTCATTAGGATAACAGGAAGAACTCATTTGTTACACAGTCTGACACATTAATGTCCTTGCTTTAACTTCTTCATATGCAATTAATCCAGAAAAATGCTATGTGTAGACAAGCCCTTGGGTTGTAAGATCTGTGAGGCTGATATAAATAAGATGTTGGATACTTGCGTGTTGAAGCTGTCACCTCAACGCATGACTTCTGTGAAAATCAGGAATGTGGCATCCTAAATGTCAGCATTTGAAGAGGAGGAGAGCCCTAGCTCCTGGGTTCGACTTGCTTGGATCATTCAGCTGTGCTGCCTGAGCCCAACATGGAGGTGAAAGACAGTCAGATCACTGGAGCAGGGACATCAGTGCCAGTGTCCCCAGGAACAGGTTGGGGTGCTGTGTGGGTGCCAGTGGCAAGGACCTGCTTACATGAAGTCTACACTGTGTCCTGGAATGGGAAAGAGAGAAGAAAATGTGATGATTGGAGAAGTGAGGATGAGAGGAGATTGGGGAAGATAAGGAGGCAATGTTAGGAGAGATAGGATGGGGGAGGAACGATGTCAGCAGTGAAGCTTACTTCAAATTGAGACATTGATGGTGAAAATAGGGGTAAAGCAATTTCTCACAGACCCTCCCAGGGTTAACTGAGACCTCTAGAAGGCTAGATAGTAGCAGTGAACCTTTGGTCACAGACTCCAGTGAAGTTGCTCCGTGTATTTGCTGTGGCTGAGATCCAGAAGGACAGTGAGAGCAGAAAGGCTCAGCCTCACCCGAGGAGAGGCAGCTGTCAGGGTGCCACCCTGGGCAAGGGGCAGGTACAGGTGCTATGTGGGGGCTCTGAAGAAGTCAGATCTTCTAGAGCCTGAGGTACTGGGGCTAAGCTATCCATACACATAGCTCATTCAGTGTTTCAAGCCTCTCTTGCAGTGTGCTGTATTAAGAATAAAATGTACTTCTTTGGTTTAGGAAGGCTGTCTGGTTGCTGTATTAGCTGTTGGTCACACGCACCTGGGCTGAAAACGACTGGCATCTGAAACCCCTTGGACCTGCTGGAGGCAGCCTCATCTACCTGCGGATGTTGTGAATTAGGAGCTGGCCAAAGAGTGGGAGAGCTCCAGTATCCCTCCCCAGAAAAGGTAAGGTCTGGAGGCTAAAACTGGCTGGACTGCACTTGTAGACCAGAAAAACAGAGCAGTTGTCCGAGTACAGAGCTGACATCATTGTAGATGAGACCTTTGAAATTTAAGGATGTAAGAGTGCAAAGTTATTTACATTGGTTTAAACCTCAAGTTGTTTTCCGGAGGTGTAAGATTGCTATTTGCACACATCACCCTTGATTTCTGTTGGCTGTGAGTCACATCATTCTGATAGCTTGTAATTCATGCAGCCAAACTTTTCCGTGTTATTGTCTCTTTAAAACCTCACACTCTGGTAGCCTTAGGCAGTTAAAACAATCAGGACAGTGGAGCAGTATCTCTGAGCTAAACCAGAGCAGTAGGTAAAGAGCAGAGGGTTGTTCTCTCCTGTGAAAGGTGTGAGTCGGATGATGAGGAATCTATTCCTGGCCCTAACATGCAGTGCAGTCTCTGCACCTGATTCACCACTGTGTTACTCTACTAATCTTCTTAGCCTCATCTTGCCACTCTCCTGTATGCTCTATGGAAGTTACACTTCCACAGAGTACATGTAAAATACTATCAATTTGAAAGGGTGATTTATATCCCAGAGCAAAAGTTTATGTTGATTCTGGTAAGTGGGGTGGGTTTTGTGGGACCAAAATGATTTCCAGACCCTGCAGCATTTTTGATATGCTCTTTGTGTCTGCAGTATGTGGCATGGTTCAGTCTACAATATTGTTTTCCCTATTGTGGATCAGCTTTCCTGGGTAGGTTGTGCACAGTATTTTATTTCTAGCTGGGAACTCACTTTGAATATGTAGATACTACATGTATAAACTTCAGATTCATGTAGTACCATCATCCCTCCCTCTGTCCTGTCTCAGGTGTCTCATTACGCTCTCCTAGTTGTAGTGCTCAGGAGATCCTGTGTTTGGATGTTCTGTTGTCCCACTTCTCTGGGTATTCTTGCTGATAGATCCCTGATCCTCTCTGAGACTGGGGAACAGACCCAGTCAGCTGCTGAAGGAAAGCACTAGACTTAATTGTGGCAGTGCTAACAGTGTGGATAAGCAGGGTCAGCTCCTGCCTAGAGCTCCAACTGTGATTTTGCTGCTCAGTGTCTAGCTGATTACAGGGCTTCAGTTGGTCACCAAGTGTCATTTATTGAGTGGTGAAGTCCAGACTAGTGCTGCAGTGTTATAACAAAGCAAGTGTCAGCAGCTTCCTGAGAAGGCAGCTGGTGATGGACTGAGCTTTTTATGAGTCCGGCAGTTATGTCAGTGATGCAGCCATTTCTGAAGAAAGCTGTGTCTGGCAAGTGCTCTGGTGTGTGGTACCATTGCTGTGAGGCTGCTTCTTCCCTGTCCTCAAGAACCATCAAATGTAGAGCAGAAGTCTCCTATTACTGTTAAAACAAAAACCAAGCGCCGTATGGGCACAAGAAAACACAGATCCATTGGCAGCAGAACAAGACTATGAATTATTCATTCTTCCAATGCCTCCTGTAGGTTCCATCCACTCAGGCTGTTCAGGATGCTGTCTGTTGGAGATGTAGACAGATCTGCTTTCAAAGCCATGCAGGCAAGACCATGCAGACTCCTATCACCACTCTTGAGCTTGTTCTTCATTAAACTGGCTTGGGCATTGTGACATCCTTGAGGACACAGAAGTAACCTATCATCCTGTGGGTTGTTGGTAGGAATATTTGTAACACCAATGAACTTGGGACACATCTGGTGATGCCAGCCTGGAATTGTCTGTGAGGTGAGGGCAGTGAGTTAGCAGCAAGATGGAAGCCCTGGCTGCTCTGGCCCATTTTGCAAAAGCGAGGTGGGAGAGCCACATCTTTTGTGTAGCATTGCTTTGGTTTTTGTAAGAAACTTAAACTATGTCAGTTTGTTCCTAGCTCCTTCTTGCTGAGAAGCCAAAGTGTCCTCTGTTAAAAGTTCCCTGAGCACAGGCAGGATTTTTCTGTCCATGCAGAGTGCTCTAGTGGAGATGAGTGTGTTTAAGTGGCTGTTTGGGAGCATCTGTAACACATAGTTTCTCTCAATTTGTTTACTAGTAGGCATTTGTCTATGTAATGGTTGTCAGCTGGCAGTTGAATTTGAGAGGCTCTGAAGACTTACAGAGCTGCAGAGGCTCAATTCTCCTCCAACTCTTCCATGAACTGCTGTGGGCTTAGGTAAGTGGTGCCCACTGTGAGAGAAGGTGTTGCTGAAGGATTGTTCAGAAGCTGTTCTTCAGCATAAAATGGACATACTTTTTGAAGCAGAGGGGGTTTAATTATTTTTTTGCTTTTTTCTTCCCACTGGTTGGTATGAAGATTCCTTCAGTCATTTTGCGTGCCCAGGCTGCACTGTCCATGCCGTATTGCATATTTTTGAGCATTTTCCCCCATTTTCCTTCTGCATCTCTCAGAGCTGTTCTTGGCTATTAGGCTTTTGCTGAGATGTATTCTGATTTTTAGTGTGAGAAAAGCTACCTGTAACTAGCAACAGCTGTAGAAATTATGGTCTTCTTAAAGCAGAAGTTCAGTCTTTGCATTTACAGCTTGTAATGTTTTATAATGTGCCCTACTGCATTTTGAGAGAACTTCAAATGTTCATAAAGAGCTTCTTGGAAAGGAAGGGAATGTTACTTCTGTCAAAACAAGACACTGTAGCTTGTGCTCAGAACAGTTTTCAGGTTCTCATTATGTCAGCCGGTTGGATATGCCCTAGAGTGAGTCACCTTTGGAGTTGTCCTAGTCCAGATGCTGAGGGAAACTGGAAGCTACGATAAAATCCCAGGCTGCATTTGAAGAGTCCTCACTAAAAAAAGTGGTGGAAGCATGCTGAGGGGAATAGCTGCACTGCTGGGTTGAGAGGCTAGGTAGGTTTCACAAAGAGAGCTGTTAAGGAAGGAAGGGTTCCTTCTGAAGAGGGTAAAATGTGTCTGTCATCCTATGGTCCTGACCAAAGTGAAAAGGCGATAAACTGGAAGCGTATCTTTTCTTTGTTTTTCATCAGTGAAAGAAGTAGACAAACAGAGCATGCAATGGATTTGTGGTTTCCATAGTGATGTAGCTATGGAAGCTTTTGTGCGGCTGAGCTTTGCCCTCACTGCAATCACACTTGAAGGCTATGAGTGTTCAGCTTTCCTGCCAGGGAAATGTAAGTATGTATCAAAGATGGAACTGGCTGAAAATGCAGCTGCATTTTCATGAATTGTTATGTTTGCTTTGTTACCTGAATATCTGAATGTTTAAAAGCTCAGCTCATTTCTCCTTTATCTGTTGTTTTGCATTGGAACAGTGCATCCAACTATACTGACACCACAGTTCTTGCTGCACCAGGCAGTGATATATTGACCTTGGTCCTTTTCTTTCTGTCATCTGTATATACACACAAATCCCACAACACTGGTTCTGTGACTCTGCAGCCACACTGATTTCAAACATGCATGGGTCAGGAAACGCAGCTCTTTTGGGGCACGCCAACTAGTCAAACACCATCCTGTAAAACTTGACAGGTGAGCTTCATGCTGTTCATAGACATCAACTCACTTGTCCATGTATCTGACATTAAATCAGGTTTTATTTTAATGAGCATTTTGAGAATATTTTAATTGTCAAAATACGTGACCCTTAGGGAATTTTTACATGTGGAGAGAGCTGTTTCTGACTGTGAATGGTTGATTAATTCTGTCTTTCAAAACAAGTTGGAGGTGGAATTTTTTAGCATCTCAGTGATAAGATTACCAGTGGGTCCTAGAGGCAAGGGAAGGAAAATGCTTGATGTGAATGTTGCATGCACACATCAGGCAGTTATACACATACTAGTCCTACATACACACTCGCATTGTCCCGTCTTTGTGGTTGACAGGCATTTGTGCCTCATCTTCTTTTTTTGCTTGTACTGCTGCTGGATGTTTTCTTGCTGTCTCCCTGAACAAATCTTCCTTACCTTCAGCATTTGTTTTGCTTGTCTAATGGATGTAATGGGTCATCTGTTCCCTTTATAGAAAGGAACGTTAATTATTTTCAGAAGGCTAATTAGGTTGCTAATGAGAAACTGTACTGCAGAAATATTTCCTTTAATTACTCACTCTTAAGTGCTGTACAGAGAAGCTAATTGAATATGCTGTTAAATACAAATGCTTGTATCTGGCTTAAAGATGCACCTTCAGGCTCCCTGAAATAAATATTTTGGTAAACTTGGGAATCCATGTGACACAGATGACTGAGCAAATGAGACTGGTGCTAAGACCTGCCTAGTTGTGCGGCCTTTTTGACTGCACCTCAGTTTGGCACTTCTGCAAGTGACTGGATGCAATTGCTCTTAATATTTCAGTTTTCCTGATGAATTTTGTCAGTATAGGTAACTATTTTTGCTACCTGCCAGCCCAGTCTATAATTAGATGCAGCCCTCACACCAAATAGTTTAGCCTAATCAGCCAGATGGCCGTCAGAGGCACATAGAGGTGGAGCGACATGTCCAAGGTCACACTGCAGATCATGGCAAACCTAGTAATAAAGCAGAGGTTTCATCAGTCCTGTGTTAGTTCACTGCACTGTTTGCCCCTTGAGCCTCTCTTAGGGCCAGCATAGATGATTATGAGACTTGCATCAGTTTGCATATTGCTTCATGAGGCGGTACAGCTGCTCAACAGCCCCATTTATGGTAGCCACCTTGGCACTGGCTTAGGTCCTTTTTAATCAAATGTCTGTCAAATGTGTGAAACTTTACCACAGGGTATTTATTTCATCATGATTATACACATTCATTACAATGTACTTCCTGATACATAAACATCACTTTCCCTACAACTAATTTGCATTCATCTGCCTCCTACTGGAAGACTATGGTCCTGGAGGGTCATCTAAAGTGGTCTCTGGTTGTAGTTACTGAATGCCCCAATATGACCAGTCCTTGAACTTTTCTTTGGGCATGCATGTTGCTTCTTGTTACATAACTTTCCAAAACCCCTAGTATATTTCTATTTTTTTGTCTATCCACTGGTTCCAGCTACATTTA